GTTGCGCACCGTTGCGTTCAAGGGAGAAGTGAACTTCTTCCTTGGCTTACGCAGAATACTTGTTACGATGTTACGCGCGGGATGATCGCCAGATCTCGTGAGCGTTCTCAACAAGTAAGCCTCAGCTTTCATGCGTAACCTCTCGGTTGGTGTCAGCACCGCGGTGTCGAAGTGAGCATGTGTATAGGAGTGGTACGTACAGCACCTAGAGCCTTTCTGAGCATTCTGTTCTGTAGCAATTCTAGCGTGCGGATAGCTCGGCCGTGTTTGTAAGGATTAATCCAAACGTGGCCCCCGTAATCAGTCGCAGCACAAACATGAGTTCTGTATAACATTAAGAATTGCCTAGTAGATATGCCCCCCTCGTGTGTTTGCGAGTCTGCCGATGGCTGCCCCGGCGCCATAACCCCTCTTTGTCATTAAAGCTGTCTGCTGCTTATATGATAGCCTGCTGTCCAACATCAATCCAAGATACTTCATGGCTCGAGTTGGTGCAATTTCCCTCTCTCCCCAATGAATTGGACTGGTGTCTATCTTCAGAGGGTGTTTCGTGAATAGCACGTATTGTGTCTTAGCAATATCTAAGGGTGTCCCATGTGTAGTCGACCAATCGTCGGCTTCGTGTATTTCGCTTTCCAATGAGGATCTAACTTCCTTCGGTGTACTGGCCGCTGCCATCCATAGTACATCGTCTGCATAACCCACTTTGGTAACCTCTCGGCTGGCTTTCAGTAACGCGGTATTATATATCAAATACAATGGTCCGCTTATTGGGGACCCTTGTGGGGAGCCTTTGCTGAGTGCGAAGGTCGAGGAAGTATAATTGGAGAATTTGAAGCGTATTTTCCTGTCCTTCAAAAAGCATCCTATCCATCTCGTGAGGTACTTCGGTAGTCCGACCTTCCTGCATTCCTCAAGGAGCTTCTCATGTATGACGTTGTTGAAAGCTCCTTGTGAGTCTAGGGCGAGCGCCGTTACTACCTTCTTTTGCTTCCAAGCATTTTGAATGAATACAGTGACATATAGTAGAGCATCGTCTGTACCGGAGCCTTTCCTACACCCAAAGTGCGTACTTGGGATTAACTTTCTGGTATCTAATTCATATTGAAGTCTCTTTGTTATGACAGTTTCAATCAACTTCGAAAGATGGTTGAGTAGTGAGATCGGGCGATAACTACTCGCTTCTCGGTATGACTTCTTATTCGGTTTTGGAATCACAATACATGTCGCTTCTTTGAAACATTTAGGGTAATGTCCAAGGTGCAAGGAGCTATTCGCTACATTTATCAATATGGTTCCATTATCGGCGTGAATTCTTTTATGGCGAAGACCGGGATGTTATCTGGTCTTGCCGCTTTCCTAACTTTCATTTTATGATAGCCACTGACATTTCCCAATTTGTGATTTCCTGGAAAGACCTGTCTCGTGTATCTTCGGGTCGCGTTCCCAGGGCTGGGGTGGGATTGGTGTCTTCACCTTGTAATAGGTGTTTGAAGAGTGTCTGAGCCTGCTCTTCTGGGCTAGCAGTAAGGGTTTTATCTGTTTTAAGCAAAAGGGGCACAAATGGCGACGGGATGCCACCATTTTTCACGTATCTGGCTGCTTTGTGGACTTCATTTGGTTTGATATTTTCTAAGAAGTTTTTCCAACATTTGGCCTTAGCCACCCTTATTGCTCGTTTGTATGCCCCTCGCGCTATTCGTGCAGCTAGGATGTTCTTTGGTAGGTGGGTCCTTAGTTTAGTTCGCCATTTTTCCTTCAATGCATCTCGTAGGTCTGAAAGCTCATCGGTCCACCAACGTTTGGAATGCTGGATTAGTCGAAGCTGTGGTGCACAAGCATCTAGGGCGGTCGTGATGCCTTCTGTCAGGTGTGAGGCTAGTTGATCAAGTTCGTCTGAAGAGCGTATCTCCTCATTCTCTATTTCCTGCGTGAATCGTAACAGCTTCTTCCTTCCCGCATCCCAGTTGGCCTTCTTTAGATTCCAACGTTTTCTATTCTCAGCATCGGCATATTCAACTTTCATGAATAGGTGCAACGGACGGTGGTCTGATGTAGTATCGATCTCATCATCGACAGAACAAAAAGCGCTGTCGTAGTGTTCCACCTTACTGCTTAACCAATACAGGTCAATAGTAGTGGCAGAGTTGTACCCGTATCTGGTGGGTATTCCTTTTGCGCTCACCATAGAGTAGTTATTTTGGAGTAGTTGGACAACTAACTCTTCTGTCTCTAACTCTGTCGTGCCTTCATAGCCTGCTGGGTTCCAGGCTGGATGGTGAGCGTTGAAATCGCCAAGGAGATGTGTCGGTTGGTTGGCAAATCGTTGGACCAAATCCCTGACTAATACTAAGGTTTGGGAGTCATGTTTGTTGTAGACGTTTATGAAGTTAACCGGTTGCGAGCCAGCGTTAAACGTGACTCTTACGCCTGTAACATTAGCCGTTGGGATATCGATGTTGTCAATTCCGTGTATGTTCTCCTTGAACGATTTCAGGATATAGATTGCAGTATACGGGTACGTATCTGTATGAGTTGAGGGGTATATTGTATCGCGGCCGGGCCACATTTTTAGTATATTTTCTGGTAATTTGGGTGGTTCTTGAATGCAGATAATCTGGACGTTATGTGTGATTGGGTTATTTATTATGGATTCCATGACTAGTATGTGTATTTTGGACTATTGTAT